GACCTTTTGAGTAGGTAGATTCGCTCTCAGTTACTCACTTGCTCACAACAAAAACATTTTATACATTAATACACTCATTTGAAACATTTTCAAAATACAAACACTTTGTACGTGTTCTTATAGAAACGAGAGTCATTACAAAGAAGACACCTTTTCAAAATCACTTTAAAAAAAACACATTTCACACACACATCTTTGAACTATTTTCGAAACAACACTTTGTACGCGTTCTTATAGAAATGAAACCATTACAAAGACATTTTAAAATACTTTCAAAAGAAAACTTAAAAAGTGACAAAATAGTGGTTTTTAAAATAAGAGGATCAAAATCAAGAAAAAAATTAAATAACGAGACCAAAATTGCAATTAAACCAAAAAATAAATAATGACAATAAAAAATAATAATTTGTATTTTAATCAAAAATATTGCTATAAAATTTTATAAGAAATATATTAAACAATGCAATTGAATTTTAATTAGTTTAATATATTTATAATAATACTTATTATATATATCCAATTAAATTATAGCATATCATTTTCTATTTGGCAGAGTATAATAGCTGAGATTAGTACCATTCTGAAGCATTCTTGTTGGAGAGTGGGTGATGGTGCTAACATCAATTTTTAAAAGGATAATTGGTGTGGCGAACCTCTTATCGACTCTCTATCTTAAAATTCGATTTTCACCACTAATCTTGATGCCAAGTCGACCACCTGCATTCATAATAAGAACTGGATTTTTCTAGAAGTTTGGAAGCACCTTTTTTCATTCCTAGAATCTATAATTATAGCTAATGTTCTACTCGTGGATGAGAGAAAGATCAACTGGTTTAACCTTTCTCTGGATAAGGTATTTTGATTCTCAAAGAGACATACACTTTCAAGCAACCCGACTCTCCTAATATGTCTTGGGCCAAGAATATTTGGAGCATGGATATCCCTTCTTCCAAGTCTTTACTTGCTTGGAGACTTATGCATCATAAGTTACTCACTGATGATCTTCTTCAAAATAGAAGTCTTTTTCTCTTTCATGTGCTATGTTTGCAAAAGAGGCCCTGACTATATCCTGCACCTTTTTTTATTGTGGTTTTTCAATCAAACTTTGGTCGTGGCTGAACAGAATGGTGAATCATAGTCTTTGTTTTCAAAATACTGAAGATCTTTGGATTCACTATAATAAGCATAGATCTCCCCAACGCAATATCATTTTGAAGGCTTCTACCATCTTTCTGATCAATGGTATCTGGTTCTTTCGAAACTACAACAGGTTTAATGACAAAACTTAGGGGTGTTAAAACGGGTTATTCCCTTCGGGCCAACCCGCGCACTCGCCAAATAATAACGAGTTGGGTTGAGATATTGGACTCGTCTACCCGCTGCATCCCGCCTAACGCACCCGTCGGGCTGGCCATGGTTCATGGGCTATTTGCCATCCCAGTGAGTTGTTAAGGAACAAATGTTATTTATGATTTGCTCAGTAATAAGGTTCCAAGTAAGATTTTGTTTTGGAATTAGCAATTATATCATATTAGTTTCTTATTTTATGTGTAGTCAAAACTTTAATAAGTTCTCAATTATATTATGTGTATATTTATAGTTTTGAAAATGTATCATTCAAGGCTATTCTTTTTAATGCATGTCATCCAAGGCTATATTTTGATTTGGTTTGCAGGCATGCTAATTTTATTATATAATATTATTAGAATTGATATTTCCTGATGCATTCATCACTCTAATTCATTCCATTTATTTTGATTATAAAGACAATAAAGTTAGGGGTGTTTGAATTTAGAAATATCATTAATATTGACAAGTATGAAGTAAAATTTGAGATCATCAACAGTTGAAGTCATTTTATTTTAAGAAGCTTGACACGGAACTATCAATTCTTGTGCTTACATTTGTTCTTTGACAAGCTTTATAAAAAATTGTTCTAAAATATAAGTAATAAGTAAAAAAATTAATTAAAATGTAAAAAAAATATATTAATTATTAAAAAAATGAAGAAAATAAATAAAAGAATAGACGGGCAACTCTGCCAACCCGTCACTTTGGCGGGGCGAGCTAGATTTTTAAACTCAATTTTGCTTGACGGCTTATCGTTCCGCCTCTTTTTTGTCGGGCTTAAGCCGGGGCGGGCGGCCCGTGTTGCCACCTTTAACGAAAATATCAGTTTATCATCGTTGTGTTCTCTCATTCTTTATCAGGTTAACATTTTTGGAACAAACATAAAGCTCTTCTTCAGAACTTTTTGGGAGGACTTCGAGATTATCAAAGTCTTCAATGTTCTGATTCACCCTCCTAAAGCTCCCTCCATCAAAGAAATCATTGGGTGCCCTCTTTCTCTAAGAATCCAATCAGAGCTGGATGCGGAGGAATTTTCAAAAAATAACACTGGTTCATTTCTCCTTGTGTTTGCAGAACCTCTTACTTGTACAAACTCTTTAGACTGTGAATTTTTAAATGTCTTTAAAAGTGTTGAAATTACTAAAGATAATAAGTGGTCCAAGCTCTGGGTTGAATCTTACTCTAGCTTAGTGGTCAAAGCATTTGCTTCCTATAACATCAATATGGTCTCTTGGCAGATCAGAACTCGATGGCATAATTGCTTCAAAATTATTTTGGAAATGTCCTTTATTATTATTACACACACTTTTAGGGAAGAAAATTGTTGTGCGGACTTTTTTTGCTAACAAAAGCCACACGTCTACAATCTTCACTATTTTTTATTCTTTACTCTTGGGCATTCATCGGGATTTTGTAAAAAAAAAAAAAGACTAGGTTTTTCTTTTTTTAGTTTTTCTTTCTCTTGAGAGGGTTTTGGTCAGAATTTTCATATAAAAGATGGGCATCTTCATACATGGTGGCCGGAACAAAATTCGCCATGACAAAAATCTCACTTAAAGTAAACTAAACATATCTGCCTATGAGCCATCAAAAAACCCCCAAAAATCCTTCTCATTTACCACTCATCAAAATCTACATTGGCATATTTAAAATTTCTCTATTAAAAAAACATCAAAAACCCAAACCTGAATACTAAATTTTTTTTCTCGTTCCTTATACCCATGAAATCAAAGTTAGCACTCAACTTTTCAATCTTAATATTAAAAAAACTTTCTCATTTACCATTCATCTCAAACCTACGATTGCACATCTAGAACTTCTCTATATGAAAAACTAATAACCTTAAACTCTAATTCTAAATTTTGTTTCTCATTCCTTTCTCTCCGAACCCTTCTCGTAAAAATTAAACATTTCACACCAAATAGACTTCAAATGCAATTTATACACTATATATATATATAAACGCTTTTATACTTTTTGATATAACAATTTGATCGAAATAGGGAAAAAAAAACATAATCTCAAGTACCACATCCAATGATCTATCAGTCCCTCTAAGTTAGCATATTTTTGAATTTCATTCCTGAATCATTTTTTTGTTTGAGTCTATATATGTCACTTTCTTGTTGGTGTTAATTCCTGGGGTTAGAAATCTGTTTAACAAAAGCTGAGTTGTTCTAACGTCGCTAACGTAGAAATAAATTTATATTTTTTTTTGCTTAATAATTGGAATACCTAGTGGATGGGGGTTTAAAAAGGAGGACTAAATCCAACACAAAAAAAGTCTACTATTTACATCATTATCTTCCTCTTTTCCAATCATCTTCTGTAAATTTTCCTCTCCGGACAACAGTAGTGTTAAGGTCTGCACATTCATCCATGGAAACATTCTCAGTAAGTAATTGCTCTCAGACTTAAATTTCAATTTGTAGTTGCAATAGAGCAATGAAGATGTTCTTCTCAAATTTAACTGAAACCCCTCAACGAAGATTCTGAAAATGTTCAAATTCGGATGTAATGTCAAGTTGCAAGCTATTCTTAATAAATGATGAACTTGAACGCAACACATCAAATGAAACCGAAAATTCAATCGCTTGCACTAACTCAAAGACAGTGTAGGAATGAATCCAAAAATCTAACCGGTTACAATTGTTCAGAGATAGCGCAAGAATTAAATTGCATCATTAAAAACCTTGAAGTAAAGAAAAAAGAGATGATGAAATTGAAGTTAAAAAACGTAAGTAAAAAAGTCAAATTGTTTAAGTTTTTGTTGATTGTTTCATGGTATCTATTCTTTGCTTACCAAAAATGGTAGCGAGTTTAATGTTCATGGTATTTGTATTTTATTTTATTTTTATCCATAAAAAATGAATAATTGCCCATCATGCCCTAATTTTTTTTGCAAGGTTTTTACATGAAAGGTCTAAATAGGACGGCATACCCATTTACCACCTCTAACTTTTACTATGCCTCTTGACATCTCTAACCCTTTTAGTGCTGAATTAAATGAAATTATGTTTGTCATTGAACTTGCTGCCCAAAAAGATTGGAATAAACTGTGGCTTTAAAGTGACTTCAAACTTGTCATTCTTGCCTTCAACAATCCGCTTATGGTCCCGTGGGCTCTCAGAAACAGATGGAAAGATTGCTTTAACACCACCGCTCACATGACCTCCTTCCTCCTCACTCATGTTTACCGTGAGGGCAACCATTGTACTGACATAATCGCTAACCTTGAGATTTCGAAGACTAGTTTTACTTGGTGAGACAACATACCTACTATAAAGTTGATATTATATCCACACGTGATTGAATTAGTTATGCATGTTCCCATAATATCAACCATTTATTTATCAAAGGTTAATGCTTGCACAAGTAGAAAGGCCCGGTATGTATAATTATAATGTTACAATTAACAAGAAAAAATTCTGGTTCACAACAAATGCTTTCACTGCTATCCGAAGACTAATAAATATACAGAAGTAGGGGGGAAATTGTTTTACATGAAAAAAACTGGCTCCAGATTTCTGCAGTCGGGCACATCTGAATCCCATTCAAACTGCATAAATTACGCAATGACGAATCTAACTCTTATGAAGCACATGAGTAAGTTGTCAGAAACAAACCTCAGTTCATATGCCATTAAGAATCTACTTATCACCGCCACCAAACATTCCCATCATGTCCTTAGAAGATCCCATCTGTTTCATCAAGCTTTGTAACCCACCCATACCTCCGATTTGCTTTAGCATCTGTGGAGGGAGGATTTTGCTCATGTGGTTGGCATTCATATTTCGAGATAAGGCACTCATTTCTCCCTTCTTGGGTATTTTAAGCCCTTTCATTTTGCTCCATATCTTTGCAAGACGTTTGTACTCTTCCATCATCTCCATTACTTCCCTAACTTGCCGACCAGAACCTCGAGCTATTCGCATCATTCTTGATTCATTCATGAGCTTTGGGTCTGAACTATCTAACTCTGAAACACGTTAGCAATTAAAGGTTAGCATGTGAAAGTGCGCTATTCCAATGACAACAGTGAATTTAGTGTGCATAAAAGTTGATCTTCCTAAATAATTCCAAAATAAAAAAGTTTCAATGCTTGCCTTTATTTGTCATCGAGTCCATCATTGTCATGTACCGCTTAATTTTTGCCTGGCTTTCCTTCTCGCGACCTTTTGGCATTAATTCAGAACTAAATCCGGGTAGCATAGAAAAAACCTACATAAACCAACCATTAGTTAGTCTCCCCCGGAAGAAAAAAAACCGAGAGCAGCCCCTCATTACACGAGAACCATCCAGTTTATTGCATCAAATGAGAATTAATGTAAACAAGAACCATAGTCTTTTCCCACCAAGTGGGGGTCAAATGTAAACCTGGCCAATGGGACCCATTTTAAGAATATTCTGAAACTGCTCGTACATAATCCTCAAGGTAAAGTGTCCTTCGGACAGCATTTGAAGCAGTTCAGGTTGTTGATCCATAGGAACAACTTCATGGATTTTGTCCATGAACCCAGACAAGTCTCCCATGCCTAGATCAAAACACGGCTGAAGATTAATATTAAGGGAACTGACACATCCTTATACATGCTTGAAAAAGTGAGGCATATCCTAAAAGTCATTTGGACGTAAACCAAAAAGTACATACCTAATAGACGACTGACAAATGGTTTAACATCAAAAACTTCAAATTCATCCATGTGTTCTCCAGTTCCAATGAATATGACAGGACTCTTTGTAGCCGCAACACTAAACATAAAAAATGAATTAAGATTAGATTTACAAATGATGATGATTATCATAACAAAATCGCGTGCAAACATCATATTTATAGAAGTTGGTGATATATCATATAAATATAGTATGATCATATCAGGTAATACTTACGCACTAAGTGCACCACCACCCTTTGCATGGCCATCCATTTTAGTGATGATGACAGCTCCAACTGCAACACTCTGTTTAAATGCTTGAGCCTGATCAAAAGCAGCCTGACCGATACTGCTATCCATAACAAAGATAACAAGATCTGGTTTCTGAATCAATGCAAATAAAAGATATTAGAGATTACTGGCTTTTGGAAACCGACATTGATGCATACAATATCAACAGAAAATACCGTTGCTTCAGAAACTTGACGCATTTCTTCAAAAAGAGCAGCTTCTTGTTTGTGCCGCCCACTAGTATCAACAATTATAAGATCACAGTTTTCTTTCCTGAATCTTTCGACACCTTCCACGGCAATTTTCACAGGATCTGACTCCATATAGCTGCAAAGTAATAATAGGGCATGGCAACCAAACAAATTATTCAAGCAAATGTGATTTATGTAAAAGCAAAGAGTTGTAAGGACAATAAAAGTGATGGAATAGGGGCTCCTCCCCTGACCGCAAAACTAAAGTAAAAAAAGGAGAAATGGAAATCATAAGAGAAATCCAAATAGATCCTTGGGATAAAAAAATAAAGAATGCTTTTAATTTTTGGTTTTATTATGCATGCTTATCTTCCAACTGAACAACTACATAGCTTGTCTATGAGAAAGAATGTAACCAATCATCATTCCTCCATGTTTTTAATTGACTAAGAATTTCCTTTTTCCTTAATCTTTTTGCCTTTTTTTTTTTGCAAGAAAGAACATCAGAAATTGAAAAGGCCATCATAACATTTGGTAGGACGGGGGGAGCTAAATATAGACCTTTGACTTGGCAATTGAGTTAAAGGTGATTGGACATCATCAATCTCACCACTGTCCTTGGTGATTTATTGACCCAAATAAAGCACGAAATGTCGTTATCCCTAGAACGCCATAAATGTCCATTTTTTTCTAAAAAGTAGTTGCTTAACTCTAAGCTGGTGTAAACTATAGACTTACAAAGCAAATTCAATTTCCAACAACTATACATGATTCTTCTAGAAGCAAATCTTCATATCATACTGTCTTTTCAAAATGAATCAGCCAGTTTTCATGAAATATTGTACGTCTCATAGTTTCAAAATTTACTTAAAGAATGTGCCTAACCATAACGAAATCCAATATAGAAATATAAACTATCTTTGTGCTCATCAAAGATCTACAACCTTGAATTTGTTATCAAAAGCCATGTATGAAGCATGTCTAATAAACATAAAACAATAATAACCTAGTTTAATTCAACTACCACCATCAATTCACTTCCCACAAGTCATGAGTCATGAATTAGGTAAAAGTGCCAGTGGAAGATTTTGAGTTTATATACAACATTAATCTATAATAACAATTAACAAATGTCAGGAGTACCTTCCATAGAAAGGGATCTTAGCTTTAGTTGCATTTTGCTTCAACTGATCAAACGCACCAGCTCTGAATGTATCAGCGCATACTAAAGCTGGCTTCCAGCCTTTCTTTTGATGATAAAATGCATATTTTGTACAGGTAGTGGTTTTCCCAGATCCTAAATTCATTCAAGAAGCATGTAAGCACCCATAAATGGACAAACAATAATTGCAAGGAAAGCCACATCTTGCTTGCCAAATGCATATATTAGTATACATGCTTTGGATTGTTAATTTACATCACAGTATCATTTGCATAAATTGAACATTGAAGTATAATATGAAGAAAAAAAGAAGCAAGAAAACATATTTAATTGAAAAACACCTTGTAAACCAACGAACATGACAACACTAGCTTTTCCTTTTTTGGGAGCAAAAGAGGGCTTTCCAGGATCCAAGATATTGCAGAGTTCATTGAACACAGCCTAGATTGAAAATTCCATGAACAAAATTGAAAATTGAAAACGACCCAATAACTTGATGAACAAAATTGAAAATTTCCTCCGGTAGGGATAAAAGATAAAAAGAAGAAAAAAGGGGAAATTAACCTGTTGGATGATTCTGCGTTTGTTATGACCAGCAGCGAGATCATCGAGATTGACAATCTTCTTGATATTGGTCTGCATGTCACGGACGAGCTTGAATTGAACATCCGATTGGAGAAGAGCGCGAGTGATTTCATTGAGACATTCGTTGAGAACTTTTTCATCGATGATTGTGGCATTGCTCATCTGCTGAAGAGCACGCGAAATGCTCCCACCTAACTGTGCGAGAACCATTTTGAAAATTTCCGAGAATTGCTCCGATTAGGGTTTGGGGTTTGAATCGCTGATCGGAGATTTCTTTTCTTCGCCGATGCTGGAAGAAACTGCGTCGCTATTGAATAATAGTACTACTATGTTTTTTTTTCTTTTCAATTTATGGTTTTATTTTAATTTAATTGGATCCGAGAGAAGGATTTATTTATGTTTTTTTTTACAATTATTTATGTTGTTAACGGTGGTGTCTATACGTGTGTTTTGTTGTTGTCCATGATTTTTTTCCGAAACAAAAAACAAAAATTATACACAAAATTATTATAGTTAAATTTGTATATTTTAGTTTATGATTTTTCTTAATCCTTTTAATGAGAGTTTATTTATTTAAATTTTTGAAATTTTTGATATTTTTATTGAGATTAAATAACTTTGTAATAAAGTTTTTTTGTTATGGCACAAAAATTGGAATATATATGCCTAGAAAACCTTATTAGAGAAATTTACATTTTAATAAGTTATTTTAGAAATGGATATGGTTTTAATATCTTTAATATAATATAAATTAGGAAAAAGAAAGACACGGTTGTGTTCTAATTAAATTTGTTTATTTAAATTTTTATATATTTATATTATTTAAATTAAATTAAATTTTCAATTACAATATTATTTTATATATTTATAGTTAAAGAAAAATAGATTTATTATAAAGAAAACTTTACCAGTAAAAATATAAATTTAAACCGAGTTTCTTGTTAAAAAATGAATAAAGAGTATAGTATATAAAAAGCTAATAGGTCATTATTATTATTTTGTGAATAAAAGGAATCTCTAACCTTCGCAATATTTAAAATGAGAAACTATTTTATCATACAAATAAAGGTAACGATAAGAAAAAAAGTAAAATAATTGAGATAATTAAAACACTTATAGAAATTTTGTGTAAAAGAAGAGTTAACACATAATTACACAAATTCAAAATGTGAAATTTGAGAACATATTTATATAACAGATTGTTTACATCTTTTATATTAATATCTCATAATTTGTACATTTTTTAAACAAAGTCATTATTAGTAAATGTGATCACATTTTGATGTGGATACTAGTAACAAATCCGTGCTATCGCATGGGTCTCGTCTGGATTCACATTACATTTATAGATTATTAAATTAGTTATCATGTTTTCAGTTGAGTATATGTCTCATGTAAATCATGTTGGCATTTAACTCCATATTTGTAGCAAGCGTCGATCCTATCAACAAATCACGTCTGCATGAACAAATAGGAAAAATTGTATACTTCTTGAAATACATGGAAAATGTATATACTATATATTTTAATGTTAGGTGGCAAGTCTATGTAACTCCTCCAACAACATCTAAGCAAGATCAAATTTGAGTTTGCACAATCTCAGTAACTCCTCCAACAACATCTAAGCAAGATCAAATTTCAAAAGTTATCATCTGAAGTCGGATACTTGCTTGAAGGATGCAAGAATAATAGTATATGGGCGTGTGGTAAACCCTGCTTTTGGAATTCAATGGTGTATATATCTGAAATTAAGTAAGTTTAAACTTAGTAAAACGATGCATATTACATATTTAATAAGATTAATGTCAAAAAATATAACTCGACTGAAAGGGTATTAAATTGACTTACATGCAATCACTCTCCCTAACACGTGTTTTTTTGTTAGATCACACAACAACTCATCGAACTTAATTTTGAAGACTCTTGAGATGATATCTGGACGGTCTTGAGAATTCAAGTTAATTTTGCTAAGCAACCTTTGGATTTCAGGCCAGTTGGGATTGCAAGTAAATGTGATAAAAAGATCTGGAAATCCAACTTGGCTACAAATTGCCATTCCATCAAAATAGAGTTGTTCCATAAACCTCCGACTTCCAACATAAGTTGAAGGTAAAACCACTCTTTTACCTTTGTTTGATCCTTGAGTGTTTGCATTCTGTTCAGATGAGCTCAAATTGCAATATTTAGAAACACGCAGCTTTTTCTGATGTTTTCGAATATAATTCAATCTTTGTGACTCCATCATAGTAAATCCATCAACCAAAAATTGTTGAAACAGCCTTCTTGACCGCAATATAGTTTGTGCCTCGTTATGTCTGCATTGAATCCTAAAAGCAAGCCATTCTCTAATGGTAAGCTTATTCCTCTTCATTTTTACTATGATGCAGCAATGAAAAATATTTAATATGTTGTAAAGAAAACAAAGTTTGGTAAAATTACCCAATTCCTTTAATTCTATGTTGAATCTCATTGTCGGTGTCGTAAACATACAATTGAGCAAATTTTGGAGATTGTCCAGTTAAAGGTAACATGCTCCCAATTCGATGGCAAGTCTGTCCATGAATTCTTATGTTAGGTGGTCCACTTCCAGCTAAAAATTTGTTGTCGAATTTCATTCCCGGAGACGTAAAAGCAAACATCATGTTGTACATTCTACAAAATTGTTGATAATTTCGACTGCCTATCTCACTATTATCAAACAAAAGACGTTGTAGTAATAGTGGTGGTGTTTTCAGAAGTGGCAACACAACTTTCCCCTTTCCACAACATAGTTGAAACTTAGGAACTGCACTATGTTTTCGCTTGTCAGTTTTTTCTTGATACCACATAAGTGCCCCACATTGTGTGCATTCAACTATAGGATCACCAATATCATAATAACCTATTTAAATGAAACGTAGTTGAGCAATTGGTTTATATTAAATAATAAAATTATAACTAAAATCGTTCATATTAAATAATAAAATTATAACTAAAATCCACATTAAATCATAGCAGGTATCAAAGTGCAACATGTAATGGACAACGTCAAATTGATATGTATACTGAATTTAAAGAAGAAATAAAGTTGGTTTTAATGATAAATACCAATATTTAAAGAATCAAATGATGTAGAATTGGAGTCATAGACATCTTCGCCATCATAGCTGGAACTTGAGTCATAATTTGCATCTGCGGCATTGAATTCACATGAGCTATCATTGAGAGAATCATCTGTTACCGTCTCATCACCAGAGTAATCACTCTCAATGTTAACATTTGGAGTTGAAGTGAATGTTGTGGGTTCTTGTATAGGAATATTGCTTGTGGATGAAAAAGCCAGATTATGATTCTCATTTCCAAAATAATTGAAGAGTTTGACCGTCATGGATTGAATAACACCTACATTCAACTGTTTTTTTGATTTATGAACATAACTACTTGGATGTTCATGAGGTTCCATATTTCTTTGATTAGAAATGAGGAAGTTATATCAGAAAGAGGTGTAACAGTCAACTGTTTTTTTGATTTTTGAATAGAACAACTTGGCGGTGCTGAGGTTTTATGTTTCTTTGGTTAGAACATGAGGAAGCTATATCAGAAAATGGTGTTTTGAAATGCGAAAAGGATGGAGAATTTATCCTGAAAGGACCCCCACTGTTATTGCTAAGGTTGTTATGAAGTTTGTAAGATTGGGGCATCTTACCTTCCATAATACTTTTCCTCCGCTGTCGTGCTGAAGCAGCCAGTTGATTTGTAGAAACAATATTGAAACTCTTCATTGTACTTGAGTTGCTTGATGCAGATGCTGGTGAAGGTGAACTCATATTTCTTTCATTAAAGATTGATGAAGTTAAATCAGATAGTGGTGTTATGATATTAACCATGGTTGGAACATAATACCTTTGAGAGTTTTCAATGGGATTGATTGTGTTTTCATCAGTTCTTCCTTTTTTTCAATCTTTTATCTTTAAGAATCTGCTTCCTTTTACGTAGAAAATCACTTTGATGGTATGGTTGTCATTCAATTTTTTTTTGTTAACCACATAAAATGATTGTAGACATAAAATGAATAAAGTTTTTGGTTATATGATAATAAATATAATTGTTAATACAACATTCACGGTTCCAAGATTTTGAAGTAAAATACTGAAGTCAACAGAATACCAAGTGATTATTTTTGTGAACCATTTTAATTATTAATAATAATAATTAATAATAATAATAGCGTTAAATAGTGTTAAGTGTTATTTCAAAATTTAATTAAAAATATTATAATTATGGACAATCAAGTACCAATAAGAAAATGTAACTTTCCAGATTCTAACCATTCTGCCAATTAATCTTGAATTGAAAAGAAAAGCAATGGTCAGAAAAAATCATTATAGTTTCACTTTGGAAACCGAAAATGAAGTGCATCATGAATAGTAACTACTCAAGCATGCATTTGATAGGCTTGAAACGTTTTTTGATATAGCCATATCATATTGATTGTATCTCACTCCAAAATCAAATTAAACGTATCATTTTAACTGATATTGGAAATGTGCGGTTACAATTTTGTCAGTTGACGGGTTGTTGAATTTTCGAGATAAAATGGGCGGAGCCATTGGCGGGTTGTTTATTCATGTTTATAAAAATTATTATAATTTATTTTTAGTTTATAAAATTAATTATATTAATATGTAGACTTTTCTCGTTTATAAGTGTCTTTAACCCGTGTGACAATTTATAAAAACATTTTAACTTATTCATGTTAAAAACAATTACATCAATATTTGAATTTTGTTCGTTTACAAAAATATTTGTAAGTTATTTAAGTTTATAAAAATAATTATAAAAATAAATATTTACCATATCATCTTAAATTTATTTATTCAACTGTGATAAATATGTGTCTCTTAGTTAATTACATTTATAAATAAATATCGTGTATTAGTGATATATATTAAATTTATTATCTTAATGTCTAACTAATTAAAATGAATTTATTATTGTCAATCAAAAATTATAATATTAAATAATAATATAATATTATTATTATATACGGGAAAAAGAATAAATTAAATCTAAGAATATCGGAAAATTTATTATAATATTAAATAATAATTTAACATTTATTATTACAATGAATCATATATAACATTTCAAAATTATGTATTTATTTCTTATGTTTTATTATATTCGATTTGTAATAAATATTTTTCAGTTTATTGCGAATTTTCAATAAT